CAGGTAAGACCCCATGAAGACAGACCAAGGGACCTGAATCTCTTATGCTTACACAAAGGAAGGCTGAAAGGAGATTTTGTAGCTGTCTACAAACTCACTGGGGGGGCCAGCAGGGAATAGGGGGCACTCTGTTTACCAGGGCACCCCTTGGGGTTACCAGAAATAATGGCCACAAACTGAAGGAGAATAGATTTAGATTGGAAATAAGGAAGAAATTCTTTACGGTGAGGGTTGCCAAAAATATGGAATGGGCTTCCAAGGGAGGTGGTGCTTTCCCCTACCTATAAATAAACACATTTCAATAAACACATTACTTTGAAAACAATAGTTGCATGAGAATTCCAAGCCAAAATAATTAACCTTTAAAAAAAACTACATATACTTACTTACCACTATCTTATAGATGATATGAACATTTTAGACTTTTGCAAGAGGTACAGGCAGGAGAACCCAAGGCCTAGTCTACACACACACACACAATTATACTGGTGTAGCTAGTTCAGTCTGGATGTGATTTTTTTAAAGCAAAAAAAAGTTATACCAGTAAAAACTCCAATGTAGACAAAGGCATGCATGTACCTTGTATGTATAAAGACTGTTTCATTTTCCAAACTAAGACCTGAGCTGTAGTTGAAATGTTGCTGACAACTATATAGCTAAAATCATATCCTGGCCAATATACTAAGACTGGTGAAAAAGTCCTTTTACAAATAGATCTTATTTCACTCATGGATCCAATTTAAGTTATCGCTGGCCAAAGTACAGATTTTCCTGATATTACTTCACTTGTATATTTATACAAACAAACCCATTTAAGTATAGGCAAGCCCTACGTCACACTCCTGGTACAGTATAAGTACTTTATGGAAAGGAATATATAATGGGTTACTTCTGCATTTAGGCTAAGTACAGACAGTCAAAAATCCCAAGGATAAATCAATTCAATCTTCGCAAGTTAGTCGGAGCTGCATATATTGAACTGATAAGCAAGTGAACAGACATTCACTTTTGATTCTGGAAATGCAGCCACATGCCTGGAGAGGCCCAGGCCAGAAGCCAGGGGGTGATAGAGCATGCCTCCCTGTTCAGCTGGAGCAGACAGCTTGGGCCAAGGCTAGCCTGTCCACCCTGACACGGGGGTGGGGGGATTCCAGGAGAGGTGCAAAGCAATCTGGGATGCTGGGGGACTGAATTTACTTGAATCTGGAGGGGATCTGGGACAGAAGTTCAATAAACTGATTTAACCTAAATCAGATAAGTCTGATACTACATCCATCCAGGTCCATCTTAAACCAGTTTTGGCCATTTTGAAAGCAGTTTACATGCATTGAACTCTTTTTGAGTTACAGATCTAAACTGGTTTCCAATCACTTATATCAGTTTATGTGCAATTTCTGCCCTAGCCCTGATGGCACAGGAGGCTTCTTTTAGTTCTATATTCCTATGCTCTCTTAAATCATCCTAACAATATACACAGTATTTTTTATACTACACCAATGTGGTTAAAGCAGCAAGACTTAAGTGCAGAAAACTCTCGAGTTATATCTTTAGCTCTGCCAGTGACTTGATGCAGAACTTCAGGCAAATGACAACTGTTCTTTGATTCAGTTCAAGAGTTAAGAAAAGAGATGTAGTACTTATCTGTTAGAGTTAAAAAGGATAATTCTAAGACAAAGTTTCAGCTAACAACAACTAGTTTTCAGTCATGAAAGGAGTTCACAAAAATAATTTTCTGAAGGTAAAATACAAAAATCCCCCAAATGCTTCTGGTAAGAAAGATTTAAGTCACAACAGAGCTTCCTCCCATCAGCTGCAGATAGTGGGTTTTGAGGATCTGTGAATCCTGCCTTATTTCAAAACTGAACTGAAATCTGACCTGGAATGTATTATCAAGATGGGAAACAGGCACAAGGATGAACAAGTCAGAAAAAAAAAATATAAAAAGTGTAACAGATTTCTTTTCCTTCTCATGGCTTAGGGAAGAGTATTTAGAAAAAAACTATCTTTCACAATATGCATGTCAGTGCACATATGACATAGCAAAGAAGGGCAGTTTTGTCATTATCAAAAAGACACAGTCTTGCAGAAAAAATATCTGATTTTGAGATAACTCTCACTAAAATATAGTAATTATGAATAGAGATGCACCAATAGAGATTTTCTGAGCCAATACCGACACCTGATTTTTAAGGAGCCATACTGGCCGATACCAATCTGATTCTGATATGCAGCCCAGAAGCTTGGAGACCAGTGTTGGGCTGGTAATTCTGGTGTGGGGAAAAAGGTCAGGGTAGGGAAGGGGCACAGGGGAGGAGGACAGATTGAGGCTCCCATAGTGAAGGAAGGATTGGGTCTGGGGCAGGCACTGCAAAGCCGGGGCATGGAATGGAGCCACGGCTCGTCTGGGGAACACGGGGGGGGGGGGGGGGGGGGC